GTATATGTGAGAATCTCTTTTATTACTTTCTTGAAATTAAGATTTTTCTTTGAATCAAGACTTATTTGTTCCCTGAATTCAGTATTCTTTATTTTGAATGGTACTATAGGTAGGTATATATATGTCTTTTGAATTCAGATTTTCTTCTATGAATCAAACTTTTCCTCTATATTATTCAAATTCCTTTTGTATTATGTATTATGATTAATCAATGAAATCCCATTTTATATCTTCTGAAATTCTGGATAAATTTTCATGTTCATGAGAGATCACGAGGAATAAGCTGCTATGGCTACCCCCTGAATCCGCCCCTGGCATAGGTACAGCTCATAAGCCAATAGGAATAGCGCATCCACGAGGAGAACACGTGAATGTTGTTTTATTGCGCCGATTTCATGAAATACAGTTATTATTGGTTTCATTATTTCTCATCCATATTTTTTTCATTACCTTGCTTTCAGCTTTTACTATAGTCAGCTGGCAAAAGTAAATATTCATTGAAAAATATCAATATATGATACCCATGCATTAAAATTCATCAGACTTATTATATTATTCTATCACTTTATTGTACTTACCTCTTATAGGAAATGGTTTAGTTTGTATTCTTTTTTTATTTGGCGGCAACAACCTATTGGTTCCTGGCGACAATTCGCTGGGGCATGATTTGACTTCATTGATTTTGTGCTTATTGAAATTTTTATAAGGTCCGGACCCGATGCAGGAACTGTCGGGTGCCCTCAGAGACCCGCTCAAAAAGTCCAATCCACTACTCATATCTCGGCAGCACACTTCACGCGGAAATAAATAAACGAATGTAGTTAAATATCGCTATCAATTCTCTTACACGCGATCGACGAATGTTGGAATGTATTTCTATATATTATTATCACAGCAGTTTATTCAAAATCAGCCGCGTAAGTGCGATGTTGCAACTGTTTATAATTATTGCAATCGCTTTGAAGTCGTCGGATCCGCGAAATAACCAGATTACGGAGTCCAATAGCCGCCGACCAATCAGAACGTGTTATGTCATCATGCGACACAGAAGCCCCTACGCCACAATGTAGTGTGCCATGAGCATGAGAGGGAACAGCGAAACATGAGCGAATCCGATACGGCGCCATCGCTTTAGATGTAGATTGTACCAGGACGATTCAATTGTTTCTGGAACACACTGATTATTGACTGTGTTGTTACAAAGGTTGTTGGTTTTTTATTCATACATAACAAAGGTTTTAGTAACGATGATTATCTTTTGCTCATAGTAATAAATAATATGGAGTAGAGAGGTTACTTTCCTAACTGACCTAACTCATAAATATATAGAAACCTTTAAATAACAGAGTGATTACTGAATATTATTGATCTCTACAGGGTTTCCAACAATATGATTTGAGAGATGTTGGGAGCCATCACTAAACAGATCACTACGCCAACCTCTCTACGCAACCAAGAAAAAATACATTCGTATC